TCATCTCTATAGATGCAGAAAAAGCCTTCGATAAGGTCCAACACTTATTCATGATAAGAACTTTACAGAAAATTGGAATAAATGGTCTTTACCTCAATATAATAAAGGCCATTTATGACAAACCAACAGCCAGCATCATACTAAATGGCCAAAAATTGAAAGCCTTTACTTTAAAATCGGGCACAAGACAAGGATGTCCTTTATCACCACTCCTATTTAATATAGTACTGGAAGTACTAGCCAGAGCAATTAGGCAAGAAAGAGAAATAAAAGGGGTAAAGATAGGAAAAGAAGAAGTTAAATTATCATTGTTTGCAGATGACATGATACTCTACATAGAAGACCCCCTAAACTCCATTGAAATACTCTTAGATACAATAAATAAATTCAGTAATGTGGCTGGATACAAAATCAATACTCAGAAATCAATAGCATTCCTATACACGAACAACAAAATTACAGAGAGGGAAATAAGAGAAACTGGACTATTCACATTAGCAAGCAAAAAAATGAAATATTTAGGAATTACTCTTACGAAAGAAGTCAAAGACTTATACAGTGAAAATTACAATACACTGAAAAAGGAAATTGAAGATGATCTCAGAAAATGGAAAGACATCCCTTGCTCATGGATAGGAAGAACAAACATTGTGAAAATGGCCATTCTCCCAAAACTGTTATACAGATTCAATGCAATCCCAATAGAAATTCCATCAACATACCTTATAGATCTAGAGAAATCACTCCTAAATTTCATCTGGAACCAGAAGAGACCCAGAATCGCAAAGGCAATTCTAAGCAGCAAAGACAAAGCAGGAGGCATCACAATCCCTGACTTGAAGTTATACTACAAAGCAACAGTAGTAAAATCAACATGGTATTGGAATCAAAACAGAGCCGAAGATCAGTGGAATAGATTAGAAGATACAACCACAACTACGAACACACTCAACCACCTTATCTTTGATAAAGGAGCCAAGCAGGTTCACTGGAAGAACGACAGTCTCTTTAATAAATGGTGCTGGAAAAACTGGCTCTCCATTTGCCGAAAACTAAAGCTAGACCCATGTCTATCACCATGTACTAAATTAAAATCTAAATGGGTCAAAGATCTGAATATTAAAACAGAAACACTAAATCTATTGGAAGACAAATTAGGTAGAAACCTTGGAGACATAGGAGTAGGTAAAGAATTCATGAACAGGACTCAAACCGCACGGGAAATACTTCCCAGAATCAATAACTGGGACCACTTCTTATTAAAAAGTTTCTGCATGTCAAAAGAAATCTCCAGCATAGTGAAAAGAAAACCCACAAACTGGGAAAAGATTTTAGTGAACTCTCTCTCAGACAAGGGCCTCTTGTCTAAAACATATAAAGAATTAAAGAAACTCAGACCTCCAAAATTCAAAGATCCAATCCAAAAATGGGCATCTGAGATGAATACGCAATTCTCAGATGAAGAAATGCAAATGGCAAATAAATACATGAAAAAATGCTCATCATCATTGGTCATTAGAGAAATGCAAATTAAAACCACACTGAGATACCATCTCACTCCTGAAAGAATGGCCAGGATCAAGAAAACCGACAACAAATGCTGGAGAGGCTGTGGGGAAAAGGGAACTCTCCTGCACTGCTGGTGGGAGTGTAGACTGGTACAGCCTTTGTGGAGATCTGTCTGGAGATTTCTCAAAAAGTTGGGACTGGAAGTCCCATTTATTCCAGCTATTCCACTTCTAGGCATATTCCCAGAAGAACTGAAAGCATCATACCACAGTGATATATGTGCACCTATGTTTATAGCAGCACAATTTGTAATCGCCAGATCATGGAAACAACCCAAGTGTCCATCAACTGAGGAATGGATAAAAAAGTTGTGGTATTTCTATACAATGGAGTATTATTCAGCTATAAAGAAGGATCACATTGAGATATTTATCAATAAATGGGCGCAGCTTGAGACCATACTCATAAGTGAAATAAATCAATCTCGCATGTGTGAATACCGAATAGTTTCCCTAATGTAAGTAATGATTCAAATATATAAAAATATGTGGTAATCATGATTCCCCATTAGGTGGCCTTGGAGCCTTATAAAGTTTTCACTCATTAATTAGAAAGGCTTTATTCTGGGCTTCTTGATTTGAAAATATTTGAAGCTAGAGTATATGAAGTTTTATCCAAATATTTCAAGGAAAAAGACACTATGGTAACTACTATTAAGTCAGGTTATATGGTGGTGAAGTACTAGGTTGTTGAAACAGTCATGCTGTGACCTCTATTGTTATATTGTTATGTCCTGTTTTATCTCAATCTCCCCCTTATTGTTTTAAAAAAATTAGTCATTTCTTATGTTTGTCTTAATTAAAGAAAAAATTCAAATAATTAGGATATATAAATAATAACTCTTTTTGATTTCCTATTAACTTGTTTTGAAGTCCTGTAGTGCTCCCACGATCTTGTTTTGACTGATTAGACGATTAGACTCTGTTCCATTCTATATGGTAGTATCAAGTTTGAAGACATAGGCAACTACTTTGAAGACAATAAGATTCACTAAGATACCCATTCTGGTTTGACTATTGTCTTCTTTGGAAGTCCTGTAATGTTTACAATGCCTAAGTTGTATTGGTCTTGTTCTCTACTGTTTTGTCCAACTTTATAATATCTAATGAGATAGACAATTCTTTTTAAGGAAACAAGGGACAACGTTGATAACCATAGTTGATAAACTTGTACTGTGTTCTACACCATGTGCTATGTCTATCCTTGGTATTGACTGACAGCTTTGTTTTGCCATATTTGACTGTATTCTCCCCCCCTTCCCCAAAAGTAATAAGCACTAAGGAGTAATGAAATCCAAAGGGTGTGAATTTTGTAGTAAAAAAGAGAGGGGAAGAAAAAAAAAAGAGAGCTCTAACGGATATAACAGCAAGTGTGTTTAGGGGTGTTAAATAGCTGACTGTATCAATGTTTGTGGATCATTGAACACAGATGTTTGCAGTCTACCTGTTTGAATGTCCACCTTGTATTCTTTGATACTGTGATTTGAGGAACTATTTTCAAGATGATAATATGTAATATACTAACAGGTGATTTCTTACTGTTATGGTTTTTTTTTGTTTGTTTGTTTGCTTTGTTTTTGTTTTGCTTTGTTTTGTTTTGTTTATGTAGTTCTGTATTACGTGTACCCTTACACCGCTTTGGTTTGTTTTGTGTTTTTCTCTTTTTCCTCTTAAATAAAAAAAAAAAAAAAAAAAAAAAAGAATTAAGTTGTTTCTGTGCCTCAGTTGCTATCAACTCAGCCTGTGACCCTCCAAATCAGCCAGATGTTCACAGGAGGGATGGGCACAGGTTAATTTCTTGTCTCCCAGCCCCTGTGCTGGCTGGCTCATGTTAAGGGCACATTTGCTTCCTGTTTCTCTTCCCAGCCCCACATGGCCTCTGCTGGCTCACTGGAAGGATGAATTGATCTATTTTCTCTACTTTCTAGTAGAATTCTGAACCTTATCTTACAGTTTTTGCCTTTGTATTTATATCTTCCATGACCTTTTTGGTTTTCTGTTTATTTCTTTTTATAGCATCTAGACTTTTTTTTCTTTGTGTCATTTAAATATTTCTTCTGCCTAAATAATTTCAATCAGCTTCAAGCTAATGATTTCACATTTATTTTATTTTATTTTATTTTATTTTTAAAGGAAAAAACACAGAAAACAAAAAACAAGAGACACACAAACAACAACTACAAGAAACAAAAAGAACCAAAACAATAACAATATAGGCTTTCAAAACAAGATGATAGAAATTTAACAATAGTTATAATATTACATATTGTTATCTTCAAAAGAGTTGCTTAAATTACCAGATATATATAGATAAAATTAATCTAACCTTATGAGTATTACCTATTCTTTTCCTAGAACTAATTGAATTTATAGTACAATCATCTTAGCTATTTTACATATATTTAAACAAATTTATATCTAAATTTCCATTTTTAGTACATTGTAAATCCCTGGACACAGTTTTATTCTTCTGTAGATAATAAACTGGTTTTCTCAACAAACCTACCAAATAATGCATCATTTAACCATCATGTAACTGCACTTATCATCTATTATTTCTGTTTCATTTCTGACTCCCTGATGTGCCTTCTATAAATGGTCTCGCATTCACCACTGGATCTGATACATAACTCTGTTTATCTAGTCACTACACTTCCTTCTTCCCCTGTGATTTGTGTTTCAAATGTCTGCTTCTATCCCTCTACCTAAAAACACTGCCTGCTCCCCCAGTATTGAATGATATGAATAATATTCCTGAGAGATTGCTTCTCCAAAAATAGCTAAGCAAAAGAATACATCCCTATTTTCTGACAATCCTTGAGAATAAAAATATCAACAAGTTATGGCAGTATATTAGAAATCAAATTTTGCTAGAAATTATTATTTAAATATTTTATAATTTAAGTAGGAGTTATAAAATTATATTTGTATATTCTGTTTCCCAGCACTATCACATTTTATTAATAAATAGGTGAAACTGTCAGAACATTTTGAATAATGCAGATAAATATCTCAGTGAACTACCTATTTTGATGGCAGCCTGACTGTGGTGTTTTCAAAACAACTGGTCTGATTATCCAGTGAGGCAATTGTGACAGGTTTATACCCAGAAAAGCATAGTGTCATTATCACATTGCAGCCTGAGAGTTGCGAACATATTTTAATTGTAACTATATGTATTGACTTCTGTGTATTCAGAGTCCTACATACATTACCAAGTACTCAAGATCACCTCTAAGAGATACCAGCTGTAAAGATGAGAAATCTGAGACTCACAGAGATCAAATACTATTCAAAGGAAGTAGTCATTGAAACCTGGTATTATTCCAAAACCCATTGTTTCCTGTTAACTAAGACATTATTTCTTATTGTAACATTAATGCTGACCCTGTGCTCTGGTTATCTCACTAATTTGTTATATTTTCCATCCAGGTTATTGTACAGCGCTGCTTATCTGGCAAGAACGTGTCTCATATGAAGGCAGCCTGCATTATGTGTGGATATTTAAAGTTCCTGCCTTTGTTCTTCATGGTGATGCCAGGAATGATCAGTCGTATCCTGTACACAGGCAAGCTGGACACCTACATCTGCTCTTTTTTATACCTGAATTCTGAAAAGCACTTTCAAAGATACAGTAAAACCCTAATAAACTAGAAAACCCATTCTTGATGGAATTAAAAGCAGAGTTCTAGGTTGAAGGAACAGCTTGTACAGAAGGTCAAAGGCAAGAAAATTTGGCATGTTTAACACTGTTTCCTTATCCCTTTTACACTTCTTGCAGACCTTTAAGAATGTTTTCATGAGTGGCTTTAATATTACAAAGTCTATAGAAAGTAGTAGAATTTGTCAAATGTGAACTAGGTGAGCTATGGTGGTTGACATTTTTGACTGAAAAGGAGTTTGAGATACATTGACTTCTAGAGTTTGATGAGACAACAGGAGAACTGAATCATTTTTAACTTCTTGAGAATCAGAGTTCATGAGAGTGCATTAATTTCTGAGTTGAACATCTCTGCTAGTGTTGAAAAGCTTCCTTAAAATCAACTTTGTTATGAAAAGTGAAACAATTAATTTGGCTAATAAAATTTATTTTTATTGCAGCAACCCATCAGGTAATGCTGGATCCACTCTTATGTTTTCTCAACTAGATGTCAGCTTATTTCACTAAAAGCTTTTTTAACATGAATTTCAAATTCACTGTCATCAACCCATACTGCAGCATCACAGCACTGTCTATGACAGTAATAAACATATAAATATCTAACAAGTAAGGAATAGCCAAAGGAATTATTGTGTTACTTTTACGTGAAAAATGCACACAAGAGGCTGAAAACTATCTCAGAACTTGAAGAAATTCTGAGATTATTATGTTTAATGTCAGTGGGAGACTATAAAATAACATCTCAGTGATTGCCAGAGTTGTGAAAAAAAGATCAGGCTGTTGAAAATAATTAGAAAATTATTCTTTAAATGAAGCTAATGTGTTAAGATGTTATTATTCTAGATTATTTTCAATTTTCATTATCTCTTGTCATAATCCAGTTTAAGCAAAAAGAAAAAGAAAAATTAGCAAGATATTTTGCAGCTGCCCCAGAGGTGATGCAACATTCCTTATGGGACAGTTACACCACTGACTATCACAAGTGGCACCTCTTTATACACTTAGATGAAAACCATTAGGTTGACTCTAACTGGACTTAAGACCTAGCCTTTTGTTGTTACTGTCACTGTTGTTGCTGTCGTTGGTGGTGGTGATGATGATGATGATGAAGGTGTTCTAGCTCTGAAGCTACACCCTTCAGAATTCATGCTTTTGCTATATTTTGAGAAGCAAACAGCTTTCTCTGTTTGCTTTAAAGCTCTAATTGGGTTGTATCCCAAGGACAAGTCCTGCCCCAAAGCTTAATTCATGTATAGCTATGGGCATGAGGAATTTAGGGGACTTTTTTTCTGGGCAAAGAGAGAATAGAACTGTGATGTCAAATTCAAAGTTGAATCTCCAGTTTCCAAACAAATGTCTTTCCTCCTACCCATAATCTTACATCTTATCTCTTTTTCCAATGGTTACGGATTGTATCTGGTTGAGCCCTTCTCACTTATATATGTCCTCAGATATGGTGGCCTGTGTTGTACCTTCTGAGTGTTTAAAACACTGTGGTGTTGATATTGGCTGCACTAACTATGCCTACCCAACAATGGTGCTGGACCTGATGCCTGCTGGTAGGTGAACGTTCATGCTTGTATAATCTCAGATGCTTTGTCTATGTAGATGGGCCATAAAGAAGGTTAACATAGAATCATTAGTAATTCTTACTTCATTAACTCTAGCCATAGACATTTCTCAAGCACCTCTCACAAGTTATCAGCCATATAATAGGCCTGGAGATTTCAGATTGAAAAAATTTCTATACTATTCTCAGATCACCAAGAAATGCTCCATAGTGTTCTGTATTGATAGGCTCATCAGTTAACCAGTGTTCCAGATGACACTTTTATCTTTGGCTAGCTCTCTGATTTAGCCCAGCTCTCATATATCGTGATATCTGGCCACTAAACAGTGCTTGCACCCTCTCCTGGCCCCAGGACTTCGAGGCCTGATGCTGTCAGTCATGTTGGCCTCCCTCATGAGCTCCCTGACCTCCATCTTCAACAGTGCCAGCACCCTCTTCACCATAGACATCTACACCAAGGTGCGGAAGCAGGCATCAGAGAAAGAGCTCCTGATAGCTGGAAGGTGAGGAAGTCTCAACTTCTATCTAGAATTCCAATGACAAATGGTAGGTCTGGAAGCAAACTAGGTCTGCCACTTATTTGGCATAATGGAAAGTAACCATAGAGTTCTCATTCCATATACAAAAAATAACGCCATACTTACAAATGAAAAATGACTTATTTTACAGATCTTTAAATGTTTTTTATTTAGATCTTTGCTCACACAATGCTCTCCAATGACATCTTCACAAATTATATGATTCCACTTACACTGATAGATTAATGTATTATCTCTAGAAGTTTCTCTGCATATTATATAAAGGAGATCAAATATCATCATCCACATACTAACACAGATAAAGCTATCAAACTTGTTCATTAAAGATTGGGCCATGCTACAGAAGGACAAACAGGAAAGAGAATAAGTGAAGAGGTGTTTAGATAGGAAGATGTCAACATAGGGAACCCTGAGGAGCTTAAAGGGAGTGAGAAGGAACGAAATAAGCAGAGAGAATGGATTTTAAAATAAACCCTTTTCCCTTTTAATAATTTTTAAGTAGACCCTAGATTGTCCTAGTATTTTGTAAAATGATTTAAAATTTGAAGTACAATGCACTTGCAAAAGAACTGGAAAACATAAACATACATCTCAATGATACATCACAAGAAGAGCACACATGTAACCACTGATCCCATTAATAAATGGAAATTACCAATACCCAGTACCTCCTGTCAGTCTCCATCTTTCTAAAGCTAAGCACTGACTTCTGAGGCTCTTAGTCTAGTCTTCCAACTTCAGACTATTACAAATAGAATAACTCAAAATGTATTCCTTGATATGTGATTGTATGTGTGTATGCACCCACACATGTGTGTTACTGCAGATTAAACCAAAAATCTTCACACCAAGCTACATACCTAGCCCTTTTTATTTTTTGAGACAGGGTCTCACTAACTTGCTAAGTTTCCCAGGCTGGGCTCAAACCTACAATCCTTCTTCTTCAGACCACCAGAGCGTTGGGATGATAGGTGTGCACCACCATGCCCAGCTTGATACAAGATTTGTTTTGCTTGTGTTTTTTGTGACATGCCATGCTGCTATGTGTAAGTATAGTTTGCTGTGGTATCACATTGCAATTAAATATTAGGGTTTATCTACTCTACTGTCCTCAGCCATTTTGCCTTGTCTATGTCTCTTGGTGCACATGGGCCTGTATTACTATCAGTCAGGTTGCTAATTGTATGTATATTTTTCATCCCTAGACTTTTCAAATTGAGTGATAACAATTAGGAATGTGAAGAGTGGTCTTAAAAGAAAAACACTGATAATGATTCTTTAAAAAATAGATTATGGTGATAATTTTAGATGTAGGTATATGCTAAGATAATGGATATACATTTCTCCTTTCATGCTTTCCAAGTTTTTGATAACATTTGATAATATATATTTTATAATGTAAATGTGTTATTATTTCTTTGTTTCTTAGTACTTCAAGTTCATGTCAGGGTTTCTCCATTAAGTAAAAGGAAAACTAGAACCCTATTATCTTCCCCTTAATGTGGAATATTTCCTTTTTCCCACACACAATAAGCAAGCTTGCTCTTGGGAGCAAGAACCTAGTGGTTCCAAGACAGAAGCATTTTCAGGGCAGTATACAAGCATAGTGTCTATGAAGGAAAATCTTGAAGAGGGTCTGCCAGCTTTCCTGCAAGGTTAGTGTCAAGATAAACTGAAGACCTACTTGAAGATCTTGCTTTGCTAATGACTGATGATAGTAACAATAACTTTTGTAAATTAAACACTTGAGAAAAACACCGGAAGGCAGCATTTGGTCCACACTTTGACTCTGGGAAATGCTGCAGGAGAGGGATAACAGTATGATATTTTTGTTTCTGTGCCAGAGAGAGTTTGGCTGATACTCAGGAAGTGTAAGACACTGTAGTTCTGCTAATTGGTATGTGATCTTGAACCTAAGTCCTCTTTAAATCTCAAAGAAAAATTAATACATTTTTATTTTCCTATCAAATGTCTATCTTTCAAAATACAAATATGGAAAACAACACATATATGTTTAAATTATTATTTCATGGAATTTGTGCTTTTGAGGAGGAGACAGAATTGATGCATATGTGTTACATCAGGTGCAGATGATGCAAGGACGAAAATTAAAAAATGATTAAAGGCAGGCAGCAAGTTGATACAGGTGCTCAGGAAATTATGAGACGGAGGTGGCATTTGAAGGAGATGTGGGACCAAACCCCAGATCTCTCTGCAGAAGGAACAGTGATGCATTCCTCATGGAACGGAACTGTCACATGCAGGAGCTTAGGTTGGCAGCAGAGAATGAAACTTTCACACGGGAGCAGTTGAAAAAGTCATACACAACCCACATAGAAAAGTATCCAGAGGTAATGTCCTACAGGGCCATAATGTGATAGAAAGCAATTGAAGCTAAAAGAGAATACGGGCAGGGGACACTCGACTGTCTTTTCAGGAAAAGTTCATTGAACCCTTACTGTGCTTTATACGTCATGCTACATCCATTGTTTGTTTCACTTAGCTGCTTCAAGAACATAAAAGTTTTATAAACTGTTCTTCAGTTCCCTGTCCAAATTTTATTTCCAGAATCTACCACTTTTCCATTCAGGCGAACACAGAAATGACATGCCATTTTATGCACAGTCTTGTAAATCATATTTATCCATTTAGTAGTCACACAAGTGGAAACATCGTTGCAGTTTATAAAATTGAATAAGTCATGTTTCTTGGAACCCAGGAACCTCTAATGGATTACTACCCCTTATCGATATTTTATACAGTCCAGTAAATTGCATTTATTTATTCACACAAGCACACAGGAAGAACTCGCAGTTTTAAAAAGTGTACAAGTCACACTTTCTGGGCCCTAGGATTATTTAAGAGATTTTTGATCACTAGCAAATATATTTTAACTGGTTCTTTTCATCTTCTGCACTATTCAAATAGTAAAATACAAAAATTAGTATTCCTTGTCCAGCGTTCTAGAATAGAGGCTTCTTTCAAATCTTTCCTATTAAAACTGATTTAGTTTCAGTAAAGTTTGAGAATGGCAGAAAAGGCAATCTGATTTCTTTATCAGACAAATAATTACCTATTAATAAAATTCATGGGGTATTTTTTTCTAGTATTTATATGCTGTTAAAGAATTATTAATCAATAGCTGATACTTGAACTGTTTTAGTGAATATACATTTAATTTTGTGGGTGAAACTATTATGACTAATTTTAGATAAATAAGTACTTTACTGTCATTACACTACCGTATAATCCTTTAGCACAACACAGGTAAATGTCAGGTCAAGCAACGTGATTTTGTTTGGAAAACCAGTGAATGGTATAAGAATAAATTGAAGAACTAAAATACAGTGAAATGCTTCTCCTACTTTTGCTTCATATTTAAATCATTTTTTCTTACCAGGTTATTTGTTGTTGTATTAATTATACTCAGCATACTATGGATCCCCATAGTAGAGGTATCTCAAGGTGGACAACTGATCCATTACACAGAAGCAATTTCCAGCTACCTAGGGCCTCCAATTGCAGCTGTCTTCCTGCTTGCTGTTTTATGTAAACGAGTCAATGAACAAGTAAGTGAAATCTTGGAGACTCTTTCCATGATGCAATGAGAGAAAAAAAGTATTTACTTACTATGATGACAAAATTCATTCTTTCTACCATACTTATACAAATCAAGGTCCACTTCAATGTCAGTTGCAATCAGCCATAATTCTTGATCCTTACTTAAGTATGAAAATATTTAATACCTATATTCTACATTCATATTACAATCTTTATACTCCCTACAAAATATTATATGGTATGTGCTGAAAAATACAAGTTTGGTAGTAGACTACAAGGCTCTAATCATGGCTTTACCATCTAATAATATTGTGATCTAAAGTAAATCACTTTACTCTCCATAAAATGATAGTGTCTAGCTAGTTAGATTTCTGAAAGGGTTAGATGAGATAAAAAATATTAAATTGTTGGGAGAAAATCTACATCACTAGTAAAAAATCAAAACATATTCCTTGCTATTGTCATGTAAAGAATTGATTGATCGTTGTTCCCCAAGTATATTTAATTCCTTAATTTAATTCCTTAATTCCTATATTTAATTCCTGGATATTAACCTTGTTATTATGACTTTCAGATGAATAACAGATTCAGAGTAGTTAATATTTATGTGCCTTTCACTTGTCACTTCATCCTACTAAACGCAATTTATGAGCCATATTGATTATTTTTCCATCCAAAGATTATATTCTTAATCTCTGTGCAATAGTTTTTCCTAACATAGAACACCTTGAACAGGGGACCAAGTGACACATGTTTCCAAATAATTTTCTCAGAGAAAATAAGTGTTTTCAATTGTCAAGCACTTAATAGAACTCTCAAAACTGCTTAGTATCAGTTCCTCAAATTGTATATCAAAAATTGTATTTCTAATTATTCTACAAAGCAAATCATAGATTGTTATTATATCTGCAAAACACAAACCAGGAAAATGACAGCTTGGATCACAGAAGAGAAAAGAGTTCTAAAAGTGAAGAATCAACAGTTCAGTGGTATTTCAGGACTATAGAAACCAACAGCTCACTAATAAACACACATATTTGCAATTTTCACTGTTTGGCTAACTTTGTGTTCAAGGTTAGATATTTGTTGGTCTTCTGTTGAGAAAGCAGACAGGGCGATAATTATGAGTTCTTGAATGGCTTTTGTATCTTTTCTAAACACTTGGGTTTTGCTCTTGTTTCTTTTTCAGGGAGCATTCTGGGGTCTGATGGCTGGACTTATTGTGGGCATTATTCGTATGATTGCAGAGTTTGCTTATGGAACAGGAAGTTGCTTCGCACCCACCAACTGTCCCACAATTATCTGTGGAGTACACTATCTGTACTTCTCCACCATTCTCTTTTTTATAACTGTGATAGTTGTCCTGGGAGTTTCCTTCCTAACAAAGCCCATTCCAGATGTAAATGTAAGTGGTGCACAATGGGCATATGCTCATTTTAAAATAAGAGTTCTTTGTCATAGAAAGTTGCAGTTAGTGTACAAGGTGCAGGCCAAAAGAATCATTGTGTCGTTAAAATTAGAAACACTCTGAGAAGTTATTCTCTTTTAACCCATTCTATGTACAAAGCAAGAGTAAAGGATTAGGAAACAGTCATCCTTCTTTTAAAATTTAACAATGCACTTAAATGGTAAGTCTATTCCACTAATATATGAGGGATACAAGGGAAAAAAATAGTTGTCCGAGAGACTGGGAAAGACTTTGCAACAGAGCTATCACATATCTTGAGCCTTTTGGGGGGTAAATATAATTTCATATCCATTCTAAATACTAATACAGAGATTGTTTAAGGCACATGGTAACAGGGGTCAAGAAAGGGAAAAACACAATAGAATAGTGTTACGCACTTTTGTCTTTCAAATTGATAAAAAAAATTTCATGTGAATAACGTATAACGTTAATTTGGATTTGCCCACAGGGCAGAATTCCAGTGCATGTAAGAACTGTATAATTTATGAGAGGCCAATAGCACAGTATTTATCAGTTTTTAAACTTCTGTACCTCATGAATCACTAATTCCATTGTTAGGGATATTATGTAAAAAGACTTGTAAAAGTGCGAAATAGATATAAGCATTAACTCTGAAATTTCTCTAATCAAAAAAGTAATAAAGTACAAAAACTGGGAGAAATTCAAATTTTCATCACTGAGGCAATGAATATACAATACACCAGTAGTGCACTGAATGTTATATAACTATTTTAAAACATAAGAGAATCTCTTATTTGTTTTGAAAATGTGCATAATATAGTTAACTGAAAAAAATGCATTCATAAAAATATAACATTTTAAACACTATGTTTGGAATAAAATACATGTGGGAAAACATGAATATATAAACATATATAGAAATACACAGATCAAAAAATCTTATATCATACACACAAAAAACATCTTTGTGCATGGGTAACTATAAAGGCTCAATAAATATTAATGTTTTAAATATAAATATTATTTGAATTTGTTATTATCAGAACAGCTTTTATGTATTTTGTATTTATCATAATTTTCAAAGCAATGCGTATTTATATATTTCCTTGAGGGTTGTCCAATAGATGATGTGTGGGCGGGAAGCCTGAAGCATAAAAAGGGTTCAAATTGTTTACCAATGACATGACACCAGAATTCACAACTAAATATTTGCATAAAATATTAGTGAAAAATGAAAGCTATAAAGTATATCATGCTATATAAATATTTTAAATGATTTTTGTCAATAGAAATAACAATTTATTATCAATTTTTAGAAGCATTTTTTTCTAGAGGACCAGGGAGACCATTTTGTAATTTATGCTTATAAATTATGCTTACTTTATTTTGTTTGGATATGTACCTAGGAGTGGGATAGCTGGATCCTATGATACTTATATTTTTAGGGGTTTTGGGGGGACGAGGCAGTTCCCAAAGCCTCCACACTGCTCAGGTTCTGTTACTAACCATTCTAAATGAAGTGGTATAGCATTTGATTATAATTTTCTTTTGTTGGTTGTTTGTTTGTTTTGTTTTTATCGGTACCAGAGATGGAACTCACAACTACGGCTTGCAAACGCAGGCGCTTATGCCACTGAGTTAAATCCCCAGTAGCTTCATTATCGTTTTGATTTGCATTTCGTTGTTAACTAATGACCTTAACCATTTTTTCACATATGTATGGGCAATTTTATCCTTTTTTTTTTTTGAGAACTGAGTGTTCAGATCATTTGCACAATCAGAATATTTGAGGATTTCATTAAGCTTTTAAATTCTTTAAATATTAATGTTATGATTAATCTTTGTCAGATAGTTAGCAAAGGTTTTTTCCCACTCTGTAGGTTGTTTTTTCAGTCTGTTGTCTCCTTTGCTGTAAAGAACCATTTTAATTGTATGTAACCTTATTTGTCAACTTTGCTTTTATTTCCCGTCCTTTTGCCTCTTACCCACAAAATTATTACCTGTGCCAGTACCTTGAAGTGTTTCTCATATGATGTCTGCTAGGGCTTTCAGAGTTTCAGGTCTTGCACTGAGGTGTTTGGCCCATTTTAAGTCAATTTCTGTGCAGAATGAGTAAGAAGGATCAAGTTTCAATCTTCTACATGTGCATATCCAGTTTTCCCATCATCGTTTCTCACAGATGCTGTCCTTGGTCTAATGTATGTTTTTTACACACTTGGCAAGAATCAGCTGGTTATAGATGCACTGATTTATTTCTAGGTCCCTGTTCCATTACATCAACATACATGTTCTTTCTTATCCAATGCCCTTTACTAATTTACTTGTGTATGTCTCTGGTTAGCTGTATCGCTTGTGCTGGGCTCTTCGGAATAGTAAAGAGGAAAGAATAGATTTAGACGCAGATGAAAAAAGGCCAGAAGAAACTGAAGATGCTGTTGAAGAAGGTAATATTTGACTCAAAATTTTTTATACCTTGAAATGTTTTAAATGAAACTAACTTCAGCTTCTGGGGAGAAAAGAGCTGTTTAATTTATGGCAATGAAATTTGCAAATCTTCACTTCACAGTAGCCAAGCTAACTTGCTACATATGAAATCCATCCATTCATTCACTTGTCTTTTTGACTATCCATCCATTTTACACACATGAAAATGTATGCCAGCTACTAAACTCACAATCAGCTACAAACTCACTTCCCCTAGTTATGTCCAAACTTTTAAGTTTGATTTATTATGAGTAAGCATCTTGCCACCTTCTCTTCAAATTATGTCACTATTCTCTCCAATACACCCTTCAATCCAGGCAGCCAAATTTCTTTACTTTTCTCCAAATCCACCAAAATCTCTAAAATATCTCTACTCCCTTCTCCAAGAGGAAGAAAGAATCTATTCTTTCATGCTGTTTTTATCACACTTCCATCATAAAATTTTCTCCAACAACCATCTCTTTGTTCACCTAATATTTTTAAAACCATTAACAAGGTTTAGAACTTCAGTTCGAGGTTGAGAATAATTGGTTTGACTTGTTTTGTTCTCCTCAAATTCTAGAAGGGTCAATGTCTTCTAGATTTTTTTATTGTTCGTATCAATGTTCCCAAGCACAATTGGCCTATAATTTTTTCTTTTTTAGTCCAGCTACAACATAATTTTTTAGTCTTTGTCTGGTTTTGGTATAGTGTTCTTTAATGGCTATTTAACCACAAATTTCTATATATTTAGAGTTTTCATTTCTTCGCTTATCAGTTTTGAGAAACTGTATTTTTAGGATTGTGCTTATTTATTACACCTTTAAATATATTGCCATAAACTTATTCACTGCATGTATGTATTGTCTTTTTCATCTCTTACCCCTATAGTTTGTTTTTGTTATAATTTCTAATATAATTTCTTGTGAGTTCCCTTTTGTCTTGATAAATCTTTTTTTTTTCTTTCTGAAGCAAAGTTTCACTATTTAGTTTAGGTTGGCCTTGAACTCACTTTGTAGCCCAAGATGTTCTCAAACTCACGGCAACTCCTGCCTCAGCTTTCCAAGTGCTAGGATTACAAATGTGCATTACCATACCCACCTTTATCTTGATAAGTCTTACTAAAGATTTATCTAGTTTTCTCATAAAGAACCGATTTTGGCTTTGCCTTATTTCTATTATGATTCTTTTCTATTTTATTACTTTCTATTCACATTTTATAATTTTCCTTTGCATTATTTGAGTTTATCTATTGAAATTTTCTCCAACTTAAGTTCTATATTTACTTCATTAATTTTCAGTCTCTCTTCTTTTCTACTGCAAGCAACTAAGGCTATATAAATACTGAAATTCTCTAGTACTGCAATAACTACCTTTGCACATTATTTAGGTTTTTGTGGGAGGGAGTATTTTATCAGTATATTTATGGTTTAAATTTCAAAAAGTTTGTGAAGTTACAGGGTTAGTTAGTGTCTATGTAGTTTTGCTATAGAATCTAAACTTCCCTCTATAAAATTGAATCATGCTGTCCTAATAACAATATATGACAATAACCATTCCCAAACAAATTATTTAACATAGTATGTTGTGAAACTTCTGAATTTCTGATAATTTCTGAATTGATGATAATGATATCTCAGTGTAGTTTTAACTCAAATTTCTTTTTTCAAGGGAAGCTAAGAATCATTTGTCTTTTCTGTAAGTTCTTTACCATCTCTGTACCATATTTAAGTGAGGCTGTTGATAGTCTTTTCTATTCCATATTGAGTATTTTAACCCTCTGTAATACAGCATACAAAGTTTTTCCCATTTTTATCACCTGTTTTTACTTACTCTGTTGGATTCTGCCATGAAAAAATTACATTATTAATGTGTGTTTGCAATACAGAATAGTGATGTTTGCCTTGGGAAATTAGTACCAGTGTATATCATACTTCGATCATTTTCAATCTCTTTATTCCCCTTCCTTTACCTTCCCTTCTCCCCTAATTCTCTTCCCTGTCTTCAGTCATCCTATACTGTTTCCTGCCATCTCTCTTTCATTTTATTGATTGATTGATTTATATCTTATATTTCTCATATAAGAGAAACCAGTGATATTTATATAACCAAATTTGTCTATATTTTCTGAAGAATTTCTCTGACACTTATAAATGCTTAGTCTTTTTTACCACATTGACAAGGACTTCCATTTCCTATCTTTTGTGATCACTTATTTCTCTTTCTTTCAGATCATCCTACAAAATCTCGTGGATGTCTCAGAAAAACTTATGACTTATTCTGTGGTTTAGAAAACACAGGGCCCAAGTTGACCAAAGAAGAGGAAGAAACCCTTAAGAAGAAACTCACAGACACATCAGAGAAGCCTCTGTGGAAAATTATAGTGGACACCAATGCTATCATCAGCCTGGTTGTAGGAGTTTTTTTCTATGCCTATTTTGCCTGAGCGCTGAGCCATTATGACTCACTGGTTAACAAAAGAATAATTTTATCCATTTTCATTTTATAGTTTATTGTGTTGTAACAACAAGAAGCCCAATGTATGTAGTAGCCACAGAAATTTGAGGTTTGGATCCACACCAACAGAGAAGAGTCACATCATGATTGTATATTGATGAAGTAAGGTTATTATAAAGCGTACAGCAGACATGAGCATAGTCCAATAATACATTGCCATACAGTGACACAGGGGGCAGCACCATGGGGAAGGATCTTGTATGAAACAGAGCCTCTGGCAGACAAGAGAAAGAACACTAGCACTGTACTGAGTTTGTAATTTTTTTTTTTTTTTTGTCTTTTTCCTTTTTATCGGTACCGGGGATCGAACTCACGGCTGCCTGCTTGCAAGGCAGGCGCTTATGCCGCTGAGCTAAATTCCCAGCCCTGAGTTTGTAATTTCTTAAGAACTGTGTTTGGATAAAAATGGTTTGGTGCCAACAGACCCACCTGTCTTTGAGCAGAGTGTCTTGGGTCTGACTGAAACAAAGAATGCTCTCACAGCGTACTCAAGGCTACCTAAGATTTCTTTCCCAGGGAGATAGCCAGATTCTCTGCAGAAAGGCTGCAGCCAAGGACATTTCAGCAAACACCTGCATTTCACTGACTCTCATCACTTGTAATCCTTTCCCTGACTTGTTACAAAGGGAGATTGGCAACTGGAAATTTTATATAATGAAGTGTTATTAGATTTGACTTTTTGGGGGTTTTTTTTGTTTCAAAAGAGAGTTTATAATTTGTAAAGCTTGTAAAATGACTCCTTATAAGTTTTCAAACTAAGTAAGTCCAAAATCTTTTTCCCAGTTTTACTGAGGTATGAATAAAAAGTAGAAATTATATGTATTTAAGGTGTACAGTGTGTGACTTGATATGTATATATACTCAAGGGACTACTGCAGCCAACTTAATTAGTACTTTCATCATCTAGAATAGTTTTTTATTTCTTTGTTTATGGAAAGAATATTTAAAATTTGCTATCCTTGCATATATCAAGTGCATAACACAGCATTATAAGCCATAATCACCAACCTGTATATTACATAGCCTCAAAATATACTCATTTTGTAACTACCTGGCAATCCACACTGTCTTGGTCTATTTTATGTTGCTCTGATAGAGTACTCAAAACCATGAATTTATAAAGAATAGACACTTTTATAGTCCTTCAAACAAAGTCCAATATCAAGGCTACAGCATCTGGTAGGATGTTTTTGCTACCTCAGTCCTGGCAGAAGACAGAAGGTCAAAAAAACCTGAAGCAGGGAAATCTGATCCTTTCATCAAGTACTCAGTTGTGTAGTAATTGGCCCATTCTTGTGATAGTAATTCATCCATAAGGGAATAGCTCTCATGACCTACTTACCTCTTAAAGGTCCCACCTCTTCATAGTGTTACACTAGAGATCAAGTTTTCAATAGATGAACTTTGGGGGCGTATCCAATCATAGCATTCCTATATAAGCCCTCAAAATCCATGTCCCTGTTGCATCCAAAATAGATTAATTCCATTCTGCTGGTCCCAAATGTTTTAAATTGTTCCAGCATCAACTCCAAAGTCAAAGTCTAAAGTCACATCTGAATCATATATGGATGAGACTTAAAGCATGCTCCATCTTGAGGTAAATTTACCTTTAGCCACAAGTCTGTGTAAACAAGTTGTCTATTCCAAAGTACAATGGTGGAACAGGCATAAGATATACATTCCTATTCCCAAAGGAGAAATTGACATAAAGAAGGTAACTGTGTCCCTAGAGGGTCTAATACCCCAGAAAGAAAACAATGCTAAATCACCCTTCATTAGATAAGAGGTTAAAGACGTGATGGATTACAGATGATAGTACTTACAGATAGATGTGAGATATTCACACAGACCAGTAAGCATGGGGCTGCACAAGGTGGTTGGGAGACCCAACTACCAGAATACAGCTTGAACGAGAGAGTTATCAGGTCAAATTCACAGAAACCTGTAGCTGAATCAGAAGTAAATCATTACTTGGGCACGTGCTGCTTGCAGAACAAGATTGAAGAGTGTACTCTAATAAGATGGAAAACAGAAAAAATGAACAGATTTCTATATACCTATGAATCACCAAAACTTAATCAAGAAGACATAAAAGTTGTAGTAATCAAATATTGGTCCACAAAATTAAATATGTAATTAAAAGCCAACCAACAAAGAAGAGCCCAGGCTCTGGTGGATTTACCGCTGAACTTTACAAGAAATTTAGAGAAATAGCTGGATATAATGGTGCACACCTGTAATTCCAGTACTCAGGGGGCTGAGACAGGAGGATTGTTGAGTTTGAGACCAGCCTGGGCTACAAAGTGAGCTCAAGGCCAGACTGAACTGCCTATCAGGACCTTGTCTCAGAAAGACAAGAAAAAATTTAGAGAAGACCTAATGCCAGTACATCTCAAACTCTTTAATGAAGTTGAAAGGGAAGTATTCTCACTGAAAGAGAATTTAGGGAAATTAAACCTTTTACAATAGCATTAAAAGAAAAGAAAAATTTAAGAATCAATGTAAAAAGGAAGTGAAAGATCTTTGTATTGAAACTATGGTACTCTGAAAAAGAGATCAAATAAGATGTCAGAAAATGGAAAGAGAGCCTTTGCTCACGTATAAGAAAAACTAACATAGTAAAACTTCCAAAATTGTTACACAGATTTAATGCCATCCAATCAAAATACAAATATTCCATCTTGAAGAATTAGAGAAAATAATCCTAAAATTCATTTAGAGCCACAAAAGACCTAGAAGAACAAAAACAATTCTGGGCCACAAAGGCAAGTCAGGGGTCATCACAATTCCTGACTTGTAATTATACTGTGAATCAACTGTGATATAAACAGTATGGTATTGGCAAAGAAGACCAAAGGATCAACAGAACAGGACATAATATGTATAAACAACCCCAAACACACCTTATCTTTGACAAAGAGACCAAACACCCTCACTGGAAGCTTCTTTAATAAATGATGCTGGTAAAACTGGCTTTCACATGCTAAAGACTAAAATTAGACCTGCATCTCTCACCATGCACTAAACTAAAATAAAATAGGGTCAAAGATCTAAATATTAAAGCAGAAACACTATGTAGGCTGGAAGTTAGAATAGGTAGAACTCTTCAGGATTTTGGTGAAGGCAAAGACTTTATGAATAAAATTCCAGTTACATAGGAAATATCTCAAAAAATCTACAAATGGATATTATCTTATTAGAAATCTTTTGCACAGTAAAAGAAATCCAAACAGAGTGAAAAGACAACCCAGAGTGGAAAAAGTTTTGCCAGCTTTTCCTCAGTCAAAGGACTACTACCTACAGTATGTGAAGAACTAAAAAATTCTGACTCTCTCAATTGAAAGACCCAATCCAAAAATGGGTATCTGAAATGAATAGCCGTTTTTCAGATGAAGAAGTAGAAACAGCCAATAAATATAAGAAAAACATTCAACTTCACTGGTCATTCAAGAGACACAAATTAAAACAATATTGAGATTTTGTCTTACTCCAAAAGAATGGCTATCATCTAAATATCAACCAACAGCAAATGCTGATGGGGCTGTGGGAAAAAGGGAGCATTTTTCTGCTGTTGGTGGAAGTGTAGACTGATGCAACCATTGTGTAAATCAGTGTGGAGATTCCTCAAAAAATTAAAACTGTAGATTCCATTCAATCCAAGGTATTCCCATTCTTGGCATCTTCTTAAATTGGTTAAAAGTATCATATCACAGTGCTATATGCACACTCATGTTTATAGTGACACAGTTTGTAATAGCTAGATCTTGGAAACAGTCCAAAAGCCCATCAACTGGTAAATGGATAAAGCAGATGTGCTTGTATTGTACAGTGAAATACTACTCTCCCATAAAGAAGGGCAAGCTTGCAATATTTCTAGGTAAATAGATATACCTTGAGACCCTATTATTTAGTGAAATAAATTGGACACATATATTTTAATCCTTCATTTTTTCTCTGTCATGAAAAACAAAAGTATAAGTAAGGACCAAAATTTGTAGTAGATATTGGGAAATAGGAAGGAAATGTTCAAATGGAGAGAGGTTTAAGGGAGGGGAATGGTGATAGGAAATAAGGGAGCAGAAAAATAAGAGAATAAAAGGAAAAAGTAGAAACAAACAAAGTTTTTGTAAATACAGAGGGAAGAATGGTTGAAGGGAGGGGAATGGGATTAAAATGAAGCAGCAAGATACAGCATGCACAGGTATAAATTCCCTAAGATGAATGTTACCATTTTGTATATCTAAAATGTACCATTAAATTAAAAAAAAAATTAACTGTCATGTTACCAGTCTGAGGCCAATATAGTGTTTTAGGTACCCAGTGTCAACAAAATCACACAAAAAAAACAAACTAGGACTACATCAATCAGAAACCACCAACTAACATCCAAATAAGGACATTACACTCTAACCAATCAAGAATATCTTCTTTGTCTTGATCCTTAGCATTTCTTGTAAAGACTTAGCACATCTTACAAAGAATGTGTAAGTTTCTCTTACACATTCCCTATTACTAGTGGTATACTAGACTACTCATGTATTCATGATTCATGAATTGATGTCTGCTCAAATAAACTTTTAAGAATACTAACACTGACCTCTGGGAGAACATGGTGGATAGATAGCAGCAGCTTTGGAGGCTCTCTGAGAAACCGCACTTAAAATCCAGAAATGGTGCTGGGTAAGAAATCCTAAGCAAGGGGAGATATACTTTGCCGACCCAGGAACAAACTAAACTAAGAGAAACCAACTGGAAACGAAATCCTGATGATATAACAGGAACAGATAAGGTCTCAGCACGGAAGCTAGACCCCGTGCCACTGGAAGCTGCAATTTGAATTTCCTGCAACCGCTGCTGAATCCCAATCAGTGTGGCAAGGAGAGAGGCACAAAAGCTCTGAGAGTGGGAAGCAGTGAATGGAGTTGAGAGCGGGACTGGCCGGGAGCCCTGCATCGACCTGCAGTGAGTGAGTGGATTGGGGACCCTTCCATGGAAGAGGAGGCTTCAGCAAAGGACATACTGGGACCAGGCAGACTAGCCAGAACAAGTTGTTGCAGTGACTTCAGACACATATTCCCCTCTCAAGCAGGACTGGTGGGGAGTGCCTGGCCTGCGTGACACCGCTGACTAAGACCCAATAGGCTAGCCCAAACCAGGTCCCAGCGCCTGGAGGTGCACCCTAGCAGTGAAGCCTTCGGTAGGGTGACTTGGATGGGCGGGCCCAGCATAGGCTGCCCAGGTCTGTGTCTCCCTAGTACACTGCAGTGGGCGGGAACACGTAGCCAGTGCGATTCAAACAAACTGTAACCGACAAAGAAAGAAACTGGGCATCCTATATACGCTTGTATGGAAGGAACAAAAAGTATGGGAAGAGGGAGCAACACGAAAAGGTCCGCAGTCCCCAATCCTGAGAACACTGATCCAGGAAAGGTGAATGCAAAGGACAATGAGAACAGAAAACATGCAATATCAGACATGGCACCAATAAGCACTATCTCCAGAGCCTCATAGACAAGTTCAGGAATGAAGTTATTAATGACCTGAAGCAAGATATAAGTAGAATAGTTAAAGAAATACTAAACACCACCCAAGAAAAAACAGATGGTGGAATGGAAGAACAGAAAAAAAGGGGAGAATTGTTTGATGGAGAAAATAGAGAAAACATAGAATACGTGAAGCAGGTTCAAAGAGATTACCAGGAAACTAAAAACTCTATCAAAAACTGGCATAACAGCTTGAAAGAAACTAAGGATAGATTATCTGAACTGGAGGGCAGATTTGTAATATGGGAGAATGAAATGAAGAACTTCTTAAAAATAACA